CTGCAGGAGGAAGCAAGATCTCAAGAGACTGCCCCTGAAAACTCTCTCCTCTGCCATCGCCTTGTGATCTTCGAGTGGCATCTCTGCATCTGCAACCTGCTCCTGGAGTCGTCAGCGACGGCACGCATTCACCGCCGATGCAAGCACTTTGAACGCACGCTGACAATTCTCTCCTCTGCCAGCGCGGGGTGCTCTTCGAGCGGCTTCTCTACGTCTGCAACCTGCTCCTGTCAGCCGAGGACCCTAACTCTGTTACAATCACTGCAGGGAGGAAGCAAGATCTCAAGAGACTGCCCCTGAAAACTCTCTCCTCTGCCATCGCCAGGTGATCTTCGAGTGGCATCTCTGCATCTGCAACCTGCTCCTGGAGTCGTCAGCGACGGGACGCATTCACCGCCGATGCAAGCACTTTGAACGCACGCTGACAAGTTCAATTCTCTCCTCGGCCAGCGCGGGGTGCTCTTCGAGCGGCTTCTCTACATCTGCAACCTGCTCCTGTGAGGACTAACTCTGTTCAATCACTGCAGGGAGGAAGCAAGATCTCAAGAGACTGCCCCTGAAAACTCTCTCCTCTGCCATCGCCAAGTGATCTTCGAGTGGCATCTCTGCATCTGCAACCTGTTCCTGGAGTCGTCAGCGACGGGACGCATCCACCGCCGATGCAAGCACTTTGAACGCACGCTGACAATTCTCTCCTGTGCTAGCACGGGGTGATCTTCGAGCGGCTTCTCTACATCTGCAACCTGCTCCTGGAGTCGTCATCCAACAACACACACTCACAGCCACAGCCGATGCAAGGATTGGGACCGTACGAACCTCACCCTGCAGACTCTCTCCTCTGCCAGCGCGGGGTGCTCACCGAGCAGCCTCTCTGCATCTGCAGCCTGATACAGGGTTTAGGGTTGAGGGCTTAGACCTCACACTCGGTTTATAGGGACTTGTACACCGCAGACCGAAGGACAGTTTGCAGCAGATGACTCATTCACGAGCAAGCAGCTGTGTTTTGCAAATGATGTGTTGTTTGTGGAGTCTGGATGTGTGCTGAACTAAATGCTTACGGAAACAGCGCCTTTGAGGTGCTCATGCCACTTGTCGGATATCAGGTGTTGGTACTTTCCAGGCCAAGCATTGACTGCCCCTCCACGCGTGTGTGTCGCGCGGAGGCGCGTTCAGCGCCCCGTTCCTGCGCTCTCGTTGCTTCTCTGGCTATGCACTCTCGGCGTAGCCCCTAAGCAGCTCAAGCACCCCCAAGCAGTGCAAGCACAGGTCTCGATGCAGTTGCAAGCCACGCTACCCCCTTCATATGAAAAAACCCTCATATACTATAATGTAACTAGACTGGGGGGATTTTAATACTAGGGGGAGGGGATTGCTCCCTATGGTGCTGGCGCCTTGGAGACCTCGGCCCGCAGCGGCTCCGAAGGCATCGGCTGCAGCCTCCAAGGCACCGCGGAGATTAGGGTTTAGGGCCTAGGGTTTAGGGTGCGGTCTCTCTCTCTCTCTCTCTCTCTCTCTGCGTCTCTTTTGCATGTTACTAAGGTCACTATGGCGTGCTCTTGGGATGTTCCCCCTTATACTAACAGTCATTATAACAGGGGGTACTACAATCCCTCTGAAGGACTGTTAGTATAAGGGTGAACATCCCAAGGGTGCACACAAGACGGTGAGAAGGCAAGCAAGGCGGCCCCGGCGCGCTGCTGTCCGAGCGGCTGAAGGCAGAAACTCTCGATGGTCTCCCAGGTCTTTGCCTGGCCATTCACACCACAGCGAGACAACGAGCGCGGGTGGGGCCACTCTGCCCATGGAAGCTCGATGTCAATAGCTATGTATATGTATAGTATGTATATAATATGTATATATTGGTGTTATATATATATATATGTATGCTTATATGTACAAACGCTCACAAAGGGCTGGGCCTCTGCCTCCATGTTGCCCGGATTACCACACGGTCTCGTGCCTCGGCTCTCTATGCTCTATGAAGTGAGATCATAGTTTTGAAAGCAAAAGGCGCATTAAACCAAAAAAGAAGTCAGAGCTGGAAACTCTGCATAAAGTCGGGCACGGCCCCGAGGCCTAAGGCATGAGGCAACATGGGGATTTCTGCACTCCAGGGTGCCCAGATCTGGATCGGCCTGGATGCGATGTTTAAACAACTGGCCGCAAGGTTTTTTAAACCTTAGGGCTGCTAAACACACTTGCTACAACACAAACTGCAAAGACTTCTAACTTATAACTTGGAATTGGGCAACAAGCTTCGATTTAAGCATCCAGATGCGGAGACATATGCCTAGTGGGAGTGACCCCATCGCAACCTGAGCAAGAAAACTGCAGAGGGGCGCCTTCGTCGAAGCCCTGCTGGCATCCTGCATGCGTTTGAATTGGGGGATTCCGAAATTCGGGGTACCTTATGATCATGGGGGTCCAGATGATGAGAGAATCCTACACTATTTGCGGGTTTTATCTTTCATTTCCGTAAGCCCCCCCAATTTCCAGGCTCATGAAGTCTGGGGTGTCTCAAAGGAAGCCATTCTTGGCCTGTGGCGCGTCGTTGCAGTTTCTGGTCTGTGCACCTCAAACAGATACGTGTAGCGATACATTCGAGGAGGAAATGCTTCTTGCACTCTTCGCGCATGTTTCAAGACACAAGCTTATAGCACGTTTCCATCGCGGGTCAAGGGGCAAGCCAAATCGGCCATCCGCGCGGACAGCACGCGCTCCACCTGAGGCTAGGCAACCAGAATTGAGATCGCACGGTTCGGCTCAAGTTTTTTGGGAAATCTCAACAGATTTGGCTCACTGGCCTTGGGCCCAAACCCTGGTGCCCACGCACGGCTATACCACACGGTTGCCGACGAGAAGCAGCCCAGCGCGTGGCAGAGCTTATTCCCGGAGACTCCTGCATGTAGAGCTTTGTACCCCTGCACCCTTTCTTTGGGGGGCTGGGGGTTCCCAGTATATACAATGCGCTAAAGCCAAAAGATGTCACGCGAAAAGTTACTCGGCTATAATTTGAGAGATACCTATCAAGAGTAGAGGTGTCTGAAGGTTCGCCGTGTTCCTCGACCGGTGGAGTCACAACAGGCAAGCCCCCAGGATCGGAACCGCCGTTCTTCTTGCTGTTGTCGGCAGATTCCGAGGCACCAGATGCCGGTGGGTCCCCTTTTATGTCGGCACCTTAGAGCAGTCTGTGCCGTGCTGTTTAAGACATGCAGGCTAGTACGGAAGCGAAAGTGTGTATGGACTCTAAGCTTGGTACGGCTGGCCAGCGGCTTCGAGCCGCACTTGTCCTGACTCCTGGCCCTGGAGCTCGGAGTTCGCCGCGTCGCGCGCGCTCCGCCGTGCTCTCTGCCGTGCTCTCTGCCGTGCTTGCTGGAGCCTGCGATTCACGGGTCGCAGCAAAGGTCTCAGTAAATTATACGCGGGGAATATTTAGCAAAGGCACTTGGGGTCCGCCGGCTCGCGGAAAACCGATCTGGACACTCGAATGAACGATGGTCCTGGCACAGGCTCGTGAAGCTACCTGCCCTTTGTGTGCGCAAGTGGCTCAAGTCTTCAAAGTTGCGGCAAGGTGGGACAATCACGCCCATGTGCTCCCTTCATCCAGACCTACATAAACATCTTGATCCCTTCCGCGATCCCTTTGCTCCAGACGCCAGCCGGCTACCAACTGGTTACCGCGGCCAGCGCTCCTTTCCGCAGATGGTGCAGGGTCCGAGCTTTGGCGCAGGCTTGGGGGTTTTGCCACGGCCGCTCGGCGGAAGGTTGGCCTTGCCTTTCAACGGAGCCGCGGGTTTGGAGGATCCGCACTGAGCAGCCGAGCGAGAGAGATACAACCCCCAAAAGGGCACAAATGGCATGAGCAAGCTAGAGTGACCCTAACAACGAAGCGTCGAGCATCAGACCGCGAGAAATGCGCCTGCAGCCTTGGCCTCCTGTGGTTTCGAGGCCATTGCGCGGATCAGATAGCTATAATGCCCTGAAAGCAAACTGACCTGAACTTCCATGGCCATGAGCTCGGTCTGGGAGCCTCTACCCGTATAGGTGTCCCGTTAAGACCCGTAATTAACCTTGTCTGTCTTTCATTCCTTGCGGGCCGCCCTCGTGAAGCCAGCACTGAAGCCAAGGGGTCCGGGCACCAGAGGCCGCTCACAAGACATGCGCGGCCAGGCTCAGCGAATGAGCCTACTGTAGCTGGGAAATGCTGGGAAGTTAAGAGGGCTCACTTTTGAAAGGGCTGCTTCTCATAGGCCCTTGGCCATTCATGATATCGGCTGTGTCCACCAACTTGAAGCTCCACTGGCATGAAGGCACTGAAAGGTGGCATCGATTATCAGATTGGCAATTGCATGACCGAGCCAAGTGGTGCTTTGGCTTCGGCATCCTGTGCGCCACACCTACGCCGAAACTGAACACAGGCCCCCCCGAGCTCTTCACGGGAAACGCGAGTCCAGACATCAGAACATCTCATTTTCGGGACTCTCGGGGGTGCCGTCGACTTCGCTCAAGCCCGACCCCAATCAGGGACTCGAAAGCGGCGTCTGTCGTGCTGGCACTCTGCAGCAATAATTCTGAACGGACTCTGGAAGCATGCCTGCTGCAACAAAGAAGCTCCAGCTAGGATAGGCGCCTGATACTTCGTAAGGACGACTCTTGACTTTCGAATTCAACGCGGCGAGACGGCTCAGAGAGAAAGTTCTGACTGAATCGGACCTCGATGGATCTCAGCTGTGCACCTATACAAACTTTCGAGCTGCCGCAAAGGGAGGCACGTCGTCTTTGTGGTAGCTGCACTTATCTCGTCAAGCAGCATGATGAGCTTAGGGCCATGGCCGAATGGCCTCTCGGTCTGCCCGCGCCTCCCTTCCAGTTTTGAATTCCTGATCTATAGACACTATATAGACTAAGAGGATTGAAGCTGCATGAAGCCACTTGATGGGCAGATCATGAAATACCCCGCTCGGCTGGCCATCGATCAAGCCGGCTGCATCTCGCTGCGCTCAGGCGAACGCGTCCGGCAAGGGTCCCAGGCGCCAGGCGAGCTCGGGAAGAACCACGGTGACCTCGGATCGCACTACATACGGATAATATGTTTAGGGTTTAGGGTTTACGGTTTAGGGTTTATTGTATTTCATATCTCAGTGGATGATCAGATTTAGTACTGAAAATGACTGCTGTCAGCTCTGGGTGTGCTGGGCACAACTTCCCACAGCCAAGTCTCTGCGAGCAAGCAAAGCAAGGCTCTTCGAAGCCTCGACTCCTGGAGCTTCACAGCGCACTGGGAGGTTCAGGGTACTTATAGGCCCAATTGGAACTGTACTTATAAGCCCAATTATAATCATAACTGTACTTATAAGCCCCCCCTTGAGACTGGATGGAATGGCAAGCATAAGCTGCCAGATATCTGCTTCAGAAATCAGCACAACACACCCCGGCATAGCAAGAGCGACTGACCTTCATTCAGATTTTTTTGGCCGCCCGACTTCACCAAGGACATCTCGGTGTGCTCTTGACAAGACATAGCCACCAGCATCATCTTTTCGGCTAAACTCCCTCGAGTACAGTGCATGAACACGGTAACGTGTTGTGGCTACATGTGCGACTCCAAATTTCCTTTGGGTGGCAAGTCAGGCGACTGGATGCTGCAGGCAGTTGCTGCAACGCCCCCAACTCGCATCTCCACATATCCGTTGCTCATCATCTGTGAAATGCTCAAGGACCACGGCGTATGCCGTACCACAAGCACTCCAAGAGAGTACTCTGCTCAGCAAGTCAGCCCACTGTGCACACAAAAGATGAAGTGCAGTACAGTGCGCATCCACTGTGACGCCCTTCTGCACCCTACAGCGGATTGCAAATTATGGCATCCCGGTGTGCATGCGGAGAGTCAAGTCCCGCAAGGCCCGAAGGCGCAACAATCCTAGTTACCTCGTGCGTGAACGAACTATGGCAGGTGTTCTGAAGGTTGTTGAGTTGAAGACTTGAACGAAGCACTATCTCGGCAAAACACACACCAGCTTGGGAAAATTTGTGTAGCTATGCGTCGAAACTGTGTACAGCCAGAGTGCAGGACCCTTGCCCGCAACATTGGCATCCCGGCCGCAAGATCCTTTTACTACGTGAGCCTAATCACGTGTTGCAGTGTATGTTGCTCCTTCTAGCAAACATTCGGTCTAAGCTGGCTTCTCGTCCGTCTCATTCGGCAAGAGTCTAGTGAGTCTAGTAGTCTACGCAGTCTTTTCCTGCCTGTGTGGCGGGAGTGTACCGGGCCAAAAGTAGGTGCGCCAAAGGAAGCGGAGAATGTCGGGCTCATCCAGCGTGGGGTCGCTGTGAGGCGCGATCACTTTGGCGTGCATCTCCGGGTATTGGGTCCAATGCATGTTGCTGTACATGTGGTGGATTGCGTGGTACCCGTTGTTGCAGGTGAACCAGTTAATCACAGGGCCGGTGAAGTTGCGAGCGGAGTTCACGTTCATCTTTGGCCCTTTGTGCTCTCCAAGGACTATATCCTCTGTTCCATCATGCTGAAGCACATTCCTGAGGTGTTCGCATGCGTACAAAGAATTCGGTGGGCTGTGGGAACCAAGGCCATACGATACCTTAAGCAGAACAAAAACGATGATCGTCTTGCTTCTTTGTTGTTGCTATGTCGATGGATAGCTTGGAGCGGCTGCACAGATTCTGTCCGTCCTATACCCCTGCAGGCACGGCGCATGGTGACGATAGCGTCTGCGCCGAAGATGTATGGGATGATCCAACAAGCTAGAGCCCTCTGCCAATCCAGGTACCTCGAGGTCGTGCTTTGAATCAATCCGAAACCCTCTTTGGTCGTTGTTTGGAAAAGTCTGTGCCCAGGTGCAGGAGCATGCCTGTAGTGCCATGCGCAGCCAGGACCTGCGAAAAACACACTGGCTTTGGGCATTAGGGATGCTGATAGGACGCAAAGCAATTCTGTGGCCGACGTACAACTGGTCTTCGTGATTGCCACGGGCTGTGAACCAAGCCATGTGCAAGTCTTGTATAACAAGTATAAGCAAACTATTTTGCTTCGTACAGATTTGTTTTTGCTCTGGGATTGGGCACTCCGGGACATTCAGGGGTGGCACTCCAGGGATTCTCTGGGGTGGGATACGGATGATTGGCGAGGAGCAGACCAGGCGAGGAAAAGAGTTGAGTTTACAGTAATTAGTCTAACAACCCCACACCGAGGGTAGGGAATAAAGAAAAACACACACATACACACACACACACAGACACATATATATATATATACATATATATATACACATGTGTGTGCGCACTTGTTGCTATGAAAGTTCTGACTCTGACTTCTTGGACTGACGAATCACGCACGCACGCACGCACGCACCCCGCACGCTCATAAGCAAAAATAAGACAAACAACAGAGAGCGAGCGAGAGAGAGTGAGAGAGAGAGTGAGAGAGATGCCCGGCCTGAAGAACGAACAGGAAGAAGGTCTTCGAGCACTTCCGCATCTCACGCGAGATGTACTCCGACTCTAACTTCTGAATGGCAGGGTAGACCTGTTCAGGGCATCGGTCTGCTCTTGAAGATGCCAAAGCTGCAGATTTCATGCCTAGTTGCCACAACTAAAGTCTTACTAGAGATTCTTGAACTGAGGGTTGAACATGGGTCGGGTTATGTCATGTCTGGTTGAGTTCTGGTTGTATCTAACGATCCAACATCAATCGTCCCGCTGACCGTGGGGAAGAAGAGGACCAAGTTCAGCAAGTGCCACTTGTACTTCCTTGCACGTGGGTCAGTTCAGTTAAAAAGCGAGACACGCAGTGAGCGGCAGGGTAGTTGAAGGGAGACTTTCTGCGGCCGTCAGTGCAGGGGGAGTTTGGAGGGCATGGCTTATGAATGGAATCATGGAGTGCTTGATGGTCATCTTGGAAAGGGCTAATGCTAAGGCAAGCTGCAAACGTCCCTTTGAGTCTTAGTGTTGTCCTTTCTTTCTTTGAGGGGCGTCCCCCTCTCTCGCGCACTCTGTCTTCTGGGCATGAAGGACAAAGGTTTAAGGGAGGTAGCCCTAGCCCTCGTGCGCCAGCGCTCTCTCTCTCTCTCTCTCTCTCTCGCTCTCTCGTTTTCTGTGTTGGTCTCCTAAGGTCGCACAGAAGTCCCCTGCGCTCCAAGAGCTGTGAACAGATTCAGCATGTTTCTGTCGAGCGGCATCTGCTTCGTGTCGAGATGGTCACCGTGCTGGGTGTACACCTTGGACGAGTTTACTGTGGGAGCGAATGGTTTTGTGAGTGGCCGAGCCGACTCAGCTCATCTGCCCACTCCTCGTCCGATACATGCACAAGACCTGCGTGCAATGAATGGAGCCGAGAGGCATGGTGATTGAGATTGTGTGTCGGGCGGTATGCTTCCACTGGCACACCGGCTGTCGCCGAAAGCAGCACCCTCCAAACTGACCTCAGGAATCTGGATGACACACCGTCAGCGACAATCAAACCAGCATCAAGGACATCAATGACAAGAAACATGGCCGGGTATCATGAAAGCAAGTAGCTCCACTACGGGATGTCGGAAGACGTCGCAATGCATGGCGTTGTGAACCATGGTCATCACCTGGCGAGTTGGGTTATCAGGTTCGGTGCTCATTGGCTGCGCGACACGTGCTCCTGTCTCAGGCATGAGTCCAAGAGACGTAGAAGCTCCAAACGCACTGGACGATGCCAAGCAGGAACTTCGCAGTCAAGCCCAGGTACCTCATGCTCAGCGAGGGCCACGGCGCATGTCAGTGCTAAATGCTCCGCCTGCCGCCAAATCGCGTTGGGCCTGTTGCGGTAGGTGCAACACATCCTTCTCATTGCGGCCCAGGCGCGGATGAGCATTCCACACAAGGAAAGCGATCAGCCACTTTGCTGAGCAAATCCCTAGTGTCCGGAGGTCGGCCGGGTTCTTCATGGACGACAAAAACGCGGAAGAGATGTCCATGGCTCTTGGTTCTCTATGTCGCCCTTCCACGTCAACGAGTCTTGAGCCACAGCTGCCGAGGACTTCTGTGAGTACATCCCTTTAGTAAGATCCAACCCTAAGTCTGCAATTGATCATGGTTGGCATTGACACATTGAGTTGCGTGATCTGATGCAGAGTAGGCTGCGGGTCCTCAGCAGCTGGTTTTGCCTTTGGGCTGTCTGTGGCCTTGTCGTCCTCCTCATCCATCTCCTGCAAGGCCTCCAATCTCCGTGCGTCTGCCTTGCGCATCTCCTTAGGGGCAGCTGCCTCAACTGCTAGGTCTGCATTCAGGTCATCGGCAAGGCGTCCGGCTTTCGCCTCAGTGGTGGGCTCCTCAGTGGTCAGATCTGGCTGTAAACTGCGCCCCTCACACGCGACTTCTGCCTCCAAAGCGATTGCCTCTGGCTCCTCAGCTGTAGGCTCCGCAAACGGCTCACCAAGTTCTGCTTCTTCTTCGGCCATTGCCTCGGCATGTGGATTGAGAACATCCTCGTCTGTGAGCACACTGGGATCTTCAGCTGCTTCCTCAGGAGCAGTTGGCTCTTGCTCCTCAGCTGTCCCTTCGACGGCCTGCCCCTGAGGCATTGCAAACCACGCATCGACTTCTGCAGCTTCTTCCGCTGCCATTGCATCAGCAGCAAGTGGCTCGGCATCATTCTCAAAAGCCATCCATAGATCCTGAGCCTTGGCCTCAGGAGCCATTGGCTCTGGCCCCTCACCAATCTCCGATGTGCTTGCAATCTCCTCAGATCCGTCTGCCTTCGCCTCAACGTCTGAGTCCAAGATGCTCGCCTCAACGGTCGTCTCCTCTGCACATGGCTCTGGCTTCAGAGCATGCACGGCGATTCTATCGGCAGCCTCAGCAATCGCAGCCTCTGACGTCGCACTGTCGGCACCAGGCTCCTCAACCTGCCGCCGCGCCTCTGTAACCCACTCCTCAAGATCTGCGGCTGCTTCCTCGGCCTGGGCATCAGCCAGCGGCTTGAGGATATCGACCATCTCCTCAACGGACGGGTTTGTGCTTGGGGCCTCCACACACAGCTCCTCATCCTCAGCAGCGGGCGTGCTGGGATCTTGAGCCACTTCCTCAGGAGCAGTGGGCTTCTCAGCTGTCTCCTCGGCAGCCTGAAGCTCATCGAGTTCTGCAGCTTCTTCCTCGGCAATGGCGTCCGCAAATTGCTCGAGAACATCCTCGGCTGTGGGCATACTGGGATCTTCAGCTGCTTCATCAGAAGCAGTCGGCTCTTGCTCCTCAGCTGCCTCTTCGGCAGAATGCCCCTGAGGCATTGCAAACCATCCGGAAGCTTCTGCCGCTTCTTCCGCTGCCATTGCGTCAGCAGCAAGTGGCTTGCCCTCATCCACAGCCAGGTCTGTGCCTAGGGCGTCTGCGTACAACTCCTCAACCTCAGCAGGAAGTGTCCATAGATCCTGAGCCTTGGCCTCAGGAGCCATTGGATCTGGCTCCTCACCCATCTCCGATGTGCTTGCAATCTCCTCAGATCCGTCTGCCTTCGCCTCAGCGTCCGCCTCCAAGATGCTCGCCTCTGCCCTTGCCTCAAAGGTCGTCGTCTCCTCTGCACATGGCGCTGGCTTCAGAGAATGCGCGGCGATTGTCTCGGTAGCCTCAGCAATCGCAGCCTCTGATGCCGGCTCAGACGGTGCACTTTCGGCAACAGGCTCCTCAACCTGCCGCCGCGCCTCTGTAACCCACTCCTCGAGATCTGCGGCTGCTCCCTCGGCCTGGGCATCAGCCAGCGGCTTGAGGATATCGACCATCTCCTCAACGGTGCTTGGGGCCTCCGCACGCAGCACCTCATCCTCAGCAGCGGGCGTGCTGGGATCTTGAGCCACTTCCTCAGGAGCAGTGGGCTTCTCAGCTGTCTCCTCGGCAGCCTGAAGCTCATCGAGTTCTGCAGCTTCTTCCTCGGCCGTTGCATCAGCAATTGCCTGGAGAGTATCCTCGGCTGTGGGCGTACTGGGATCTTCAGCTGCTTCCTCAGGGGCAGTCGGCTCTTGCTCCTCAGCTGCCTCTTCGGCAGAATGCCCCTGAGGCATTGCAAACCATCCAGAAGCTTCTGCCGCTTCTTCCGCTGCCATTGCGTCAGCAGCAAGTGGCTTGCCCTCACCCACAGCCAGGTCTGTGCCTAGGGCGTCTGCGTACAACTCCTCAACCTCAGCAGGAAGTCTCCATAGATCCTGAGCCTTGGCCTCAGGAGCCATTGGATCTGGCTCCTCACCCATCTCCGATGTGCTTGCAATCTCCTCAGATCCGTCTGCCTTCGCCTCAGCGCCCGCCTCCAGGATGCTCGCCTCTGCCCTTGCCTCAAAGGTCGTCGTCTCCTCCGCACACGGCTCTTGCTTCAGAGCATTCGCGGCGATTGTCTCGGTAGCCTCAGCAATCGCAGCCTCTGATGTCGGCTCAGACGGTGCACTTGCGTCAACAGGCTCCTCAACCTGCCGCCGCGCCTCTGCAACCCACTCCTCGAGATCTACGGCTGCTTCCTCGGCCTGGGCATCAGCCAGCGGCTTGAGGATATCGACCATCTCCTCAACGGCGGCCGGGTTTGTGCTTGGGGCCTCCGCACGCAGCACCTCATCCTCAGCAGCGGGCGTGCTGGGATCTTGAGCCACTTCCTCAGAAGCAGTGGGCTTCTCAGCTGTCTCCTCGGCAGCCTGAAGCTCATCGAGTTCTGCAGCTTCTTCCTCGGCAATGGCGTCCGCAAATTGCTCGAGAACATCCTCGGCTGTGGGCATACTGGGATCTTCAGCTGCTTCATCAGAAGCAGTCGGCTCTTGCTCCCCAGCTGCCTCTTCGGCAGAATGCCCCTGAGGCATTGCAAACCATCTAGAAGCTTCTGCCGCTTCTTCCGCAGCCATTGCATCAGCAGCAAGTGGCTTGCCCTCATCCACAGCCAGGTCTGTGCCTAGGGCGTCTGCGTACAACTCCTCAACCTCAGCAGGAAGTGTCCATAGATCCTGAGCCTTGGCCTCAGGAGCCATTGGATCTGGCTCCTCACCCATCTCCGATGTGCTTGCAATCTCCTCAGATCCGTCTGCCTTCGCCTCAGCGTCCGCCTCCAGGATGCTCGCCTCTGCCCTTGCCTCAAAGGTCGTCGTCTCCTCCGCACACGGCTCTTGCTTCAGAGCATTCGCGGCGATTGTCTCGGTAGCCTCAGCAATCGCAGCCTCAGACGGTGCACTTTCGTCAACAGGCTCCTCAACCTGCCGCCGCGCCTCTGCAACCCACTCCTCGAGATCTACGGCTGCTTCCTCGGCCTGGGCATCAGCCAGCGGCTTGAGGATATCGACCATCTCCTCAACGGCGGCCGGGTTTGTGCTTGGGGCCTCCGCACGCAGCACCTCATCCTCAGCAGCGGGCGTGCTGGGATCTTGAGCCACTTCCTCAAAAGCAGAGGAGCAGTGGGCTTCTCAGCTGTCTCCTCGGCAGCCTGAAGCTCATCGAGTTCTGCGGCTTCTTCCTCGGCAATGGCGTCCGCAAATTGCTCGAGAACATCCTCGGCTGTGGGCATACTGGGATCTTCAGCTGCTTCATCAGAAGCGGTCGGCTCTTGCTCCTCAGCTGCCTCTTCGGCAGAATGCCCCTGAGGCATTGCAAACCACCCATCGACTTCTGCCGCTTCTTCCGTAACCTCGGCAGGAAGTGTCCATAGATCCTGAGCCTTGGCCTCAGGAGCTATTGGATCTGGCTCCTCACCCATCTCCGATGTGCTTGCAATCTCCTCAGATCCGTCTGTCTTCGCCTCAGCGTCCGCCTCCAAGATGCTCGCCTCTGCCCTTGCCTCAAAGGTCGTCGTCTCCTCCGCACACGGCTCTTGCTTCAGAGCTGCAACCCACTCCTCGAGATCTACGGCTGCTTCCTCGGCCTGGGCATCAGCCAGCGGCTTGAGGATATCGACCATCTCCTCAACGGCGGCCGGGTTTGTGCTTGGGGCCTCCGCACGCAGCACCTCATCCTCAGCAGCGGGCGTGCTGGGATCTTGAGCCACTTCCTCAGAAGCAGTGGGCTTCTCAGCTGTCTCCTCGGCAGCCTGAAGCTCATCGAGTTCTGCAGCTTCTTCCTCGGCAATGGCGTCCGCAAATTGCTCGAGAACATCCTCGGCTGTGGGCATACTGGGATCTTCAGCTGCTTCATCAGAAGCAGTCGGCTCTTGCTCCTCAGCTGCCTCTTCGGCAGAATGCCCCTGAGGCATTGAAAACCACCCATCGACTTCTGCCGCTTCTTCCGCTGCCATTGCGTCAGCATGAACAGCCAAGTCTGTGCTTGGGGCCTCGGCGTGCAACTCCTCAACCTCAGCAGCAGGTGTCCACAGATCCTTTGGCTCTGAGGAGCCCTCAGCAATCTCCGATGCATTTGCAGTCTCCTCAGGTCCGTCCGCCTTCGCCACAGCGTCTGCCTCCAAGTCGTTCGCCTTTGCACATGGCTCTGTCTTCAGGGCATGTGCAGCGATTGCCTCGGCAGCCTCAGCAACCGATTGTGCGTCCATAGAAGCATCACCTGCAATCGCAGCCTCTGATGTCGGCTCAGACTGTGCACTTTCGTCAGCAGGCTCCTCAACCTGCCGGCACTCCTCGACATCTGCGGCTGAATCCTCGGTCGTCGCATCTATCAGCGGCTTGATGCTGTCGACAATCTCCTCCGCAAACAGGTCTGCAGCAGTAGGGGCCTCCGCACACAGCTCCTCATCCACCGCAACAGGCACACTGGGATCTTGAGCCGTTTCCTCAGCCGCGTTCACATGAGCAGCTGGCTCTGGCACCTTGGCATGTCCCACAACCTGGACAACATCCTCAACGACTGCGCCTCGGGCTTCCGACTGCATCTCCTCTGCAGCTGAGCTTGCATCATCGGCGTCTGGTTCGGAACTGCCTGCCTCTGCGCTTGCTTCAAAGGGCTTCTGTGCAACAGCCTCAGCCGCCAGTTCTGCTGAGGCCTCAGGCTCGTCTGCTTTTGCCTCGGCAGCTGGGTCCTCAGCCCTGCTGGACTCAGGCTGGCCCTGCTGGCTGCATGTCACCTCCATGTGCTCAGGGACCGGTTCCAGGCCCCACGCAGAGGAGCGTGACCTCAGATTGCGCCACCGCACAATCAGCAATGCTAACGACTGATGATCATGCCAAGACGCTTGTCGAGGGTCTGCGTTGATGATGTCGCACGGCTCGCACCTGTTTGCAACAGTGAGGCAAGGTGGCTCCGTGGCGGCCCCATGATCCAGGCACATGGATGCTTGTTACCACCGACTGCCACCATTCACTGCCTCAAGCGGCTCAACTTATTTCAGGGCAGGTGACCTCAGTACCAATTATGTTCAACATCCCCCTGGCCTCATGCTACAACAGCTTCATCCTTGCAAAAAACCTCTGCAGGCCCTATTGCAACCCTGGAAGCCCTGACCGAATTCCTGGAATCAGCGCAGCGGCCTGTGGGCACCACTGTCTTTGAAGCTCGCGGAGCCGTGTCAGCGTCCGTCACCTGGACCTTCTTTGCCACCACTTTGCTGCTGGTCTTCCCAGCCTTCCCTGAGGTCCTGGAGTCACGGGATCAACAAAGACTATATACCCTAAACCCGCAACCAATCTCAACCATAAATCCTGTGATCCCGGCAGCGCCATGCAAGGTGTCCTCGTGGGGGCAGCCGGGACCTTCCTTTCAAGCACCTGTCCAGCCATTCAGCCCGAGCAAGATCCTCGCTCCCCCACTTGAAGTACCCGGCCTTGGGCTTCGCATGCTCGGGCTGCTGAGAGCGTTCTGGGCGCACTTGCTTTGCCGGGGCCTTTCCGGTACCTTTCAGTGGCTACAGGAACTCCTTGCTCGCATAAGGCACCAAGTCCTATACCTTGCCCATAGGCCTGCCGATGGGAGCCTCGGGCGCGGAATCTTGCTGGGCCCATCGGGCCGTTTCGACAGGGCAGCCGGCCGCGAATCTGAAGCTCTGTCTCGTGCCTCCTATGTCAGTCAGATACCCCCGCGTCTGAAGCTGACTAGTTCACACTTACGTGGGTGGTGCTCGCAATCTTTCCCTCGGCCTGCTGTGCTGGTGCAGCGCCTTCGCTGCGTGCGCTGCTCGGGATCCTGCTTTAGAGGTTTACTCTTGGTACACTTCTCGATTTGCACGTGTCATCCTTAGAGGTTTAGGGTTTAGGGTTTATAAAGGTTTAGCTTCAGACGGAGAGGCTTTGCCAGTGAATGCGACACCAACTGTGTTAGATGAAAGCGCTTCGGAAGATGGGGACTTGTCGACATGTTATATAACTACAACAACGGCAATAACCCTCACATTAAGAAATCATGAAGCGCCCCAAATACTCGGAGTCCTTGGTCGTGGTATCTTGCTGGCCTTCTCAGATTCCACAGCTTTCTTGTCCAGGGCCTCTTGCAAGACTCATCTTCATGCCCAAGACCGTTCACATCTTCGCTTCAAGCGGTTCATTCTCAATTCTTTGCAACAAATTCGCATGGATGACGTGATTGTCTTCCGAATACTGGAACTCCACTGCGTTTGGGTGTAGGATTTAGGGTTCAAGGTTTAGGATTTAGGGGTCAGGGTTTCGGATTTAGGGCATTGGGCCTGCCAGAAGGCTCGGGCATCATCCTGATTCGACTGGCCAGCCTCCTCGGCACAGGATTGGATGTCTCAAGAAGCCGCACAAGGTGCCCGGAACTTCTGCGAATTCAGTGGCAGGAGACTCAGACCGTCGCCCGAATTCCCATGTCGCATTCCCAAGGTGCCTCGTTGTCGGGCTCCTTCTCACCTGGATCAGCAGCTTTCTTCGGGCCTCGGCTTGGCTTCCCTTCAAGGCCCCCCTTTTTTTATGCCCCTCAGATGTATGCGCTGCATACCACAGAGACCTGGCATGTCTTGACGTTACAGCAGGGCTGCCTGCATTCCAAGGCATTCCAATGAATTCTCATGCATGCAAGCCACCTCTTGGCGGAGCTGTCGGAGCAGGTCTTGACGTGGAAGGCCGGGAATTCGAAGCTTTGGTAGACACTCCCGGCTGCTTCGGTGGCGCAGGGTGGGACTCGGAAGTCCTGGTCTGCGGCTTCGTTGCCTGACGGATTTTTGGCGTGGTTCGCGACTTAGGTGTAAATTCGCCACAGCTCGTAGAATTATGTTTTGGGTGGTAGTGTGCAGAGTAAGCAAGCAAAAGAAAATCAGATTGTTGAACAAATCCTGCTGCCTCGATGTTCAGTCGATTGCCACCACCCTTGCGAGCTTTGGGAGCCGCTGAGTTCTTCAGGCAGAAAGTGGAGCTCGAACGCCGCAGCGCATGTGGTGCTGTTCCCGACCCCTTGCCTTCCTCTACGAGTCGATCGGGTGCACCATCTGCCTTGCTAGGAGGTGCCAAGCTGCTGGTTGCTGCACCCGACGGATCCACCATCCCTGCTTGCTTGGATGCTAGTTCCTCAGCTTTTGTGCCGGCAAGCTTCTGGACGGCATCCTCCACACAATCCTCAGTCTTGGCCTCAAGAGCCGTCAACTCTGTCTCCTCAGCTCTCTCCCGAGAAGCTCCCAAAGCAGCCTTCCCCCCAACTGCAATTGGGGTCTCCTGAGCCACCTCTGCCTTTGCCTCAGCGTCTGCCTCCACAGTGGGCTGCACGTGTTCCACCACTCTTGCTGCAAAGGTCGGCTCCACATCTGTCTCTGTTTTGGCCGCAGTTTTGCCAGCCTCCCCACCAAACTCTGCTTTCAACACCCCCGAAGCCCATTCCTCGAGTTCTGCTCCGGCAGCCTCGGGGGCAGCAAGGGGAGCAAGTGGACTACCATCAGTTGGCTCCTCCGTAGCCACAACAGCCGCCTCTGCAACTGAGGTCTCCCCAGGCCCCTCCGCCTTCGTTTCTTCTGCTGAACGTGCCACCTCCTCAGCGGATGGCTCATGGGAATGCGCAGCGATGTTCTCAGGTGGTGCCCCGGCAGTTTCCTCATCAGGCTCCGTGGCAGCCTGCCCCAGAGGCTCTGCAACCCGCTCCTCGACCTCTGCATCTGTTTCCTCGGCCGTTGCACCAGCAAGTGGCTTGACGGCATCTTCAACAGCCGAGTCTGTGATTCGGGTCGCCGCAGGCACTTCTTCAACCTTTGTCTCACCTGCATCAAAGGTTTCGAACTCTTGGACACTGGCATGGCCTGTCATCTCCCAGCCCACACTCATGACCCGGGCAACGTCATGTTGGGCATCGCAGGCACCGGCATCAGCATGTTCCTGCCGGAGGCTTGAGTCGACTTGCGCATGCTCCTGCTCGAATGACGTCGCCCCAAGAGGCATAGTGGAGACCTCCACGGCAGCACAGCCACCTT